AAGAGGGACATTGGTTCTCCTTCCGCCTTAAATCTCGACCAACCTCGGAACCTAGTCACTTGGTCTGACGAAGCTTTTGTGTCAAAGGCGAAACGTTGCCTAGCAAAAATCAACCGATTGTCGCCAAACATTTTCGAAAATGATGATCCTACTCTTCTTAACCTACTCGAATTACTATTCTGCGTACAACTGCATGTACGATCGATAGAATTGCTCATTTTCCAAACGAGTTCACTCACGTGACTCACTACTGAAAGTTTGCATTTGCCCTTTACAAGTGCACGCCGAAATCGAACTGGAACCAGACTAGAGGGAAGCATGCTAGACTTGTAATGGCAATAGTTAAATGATATTTTACGGAAAGCAAGCTCGGCATGAACAAAGATCACGTGAGTTTTGATGTGAAGTAAATCACAAATGCCGTCACCGATTTCTCAGAATACCACAAAGGAGTTGGATTCCGGTGTTTATGGCCTCTTGGATGAAATTAAATTATATGATGCGTTGTGTAACGGCTATGGTTGTTAACTCATGATAACCGTTTGGAGACACGGATCATGACCAATCGATGTTCAGCTTAAAGAAGGGTTTCGAACTGTGACAGAACGGAATTTAGCTACTGCGACTGGCCTGAGAACTCTTGGACAGTCCACGAACTATTGCGTCCCTGTTTGGGCTCACCAGTTACGAGCCGTCCCCTAGTTGCCCTCCACTTGGACCCGAAATCCACTTAATTCCCGAGAAGCACTTATTTCCACTCGAAATGGGTTTTAACGGGAGACTCAGCTGAATCCCAGCTGAACTTCTCGTTTGCGATATTCTTCAAATGAATATGAGCTCGAGGTAGTTCAGTAGTTAATGCACAAACTTACTGACAGAAAGGTCCGTGGTTCGAACGCGACCACAGCACCTGGACACTGATGTCATGCTGTCGACGACGGCGACGATGATTATGGTGAAGATGATGATGATGATGATGACTGATGATGATGATGATGATGATGATGATGATGATGATGATGATGATGATTCGTGCGAACTTACTGACCGTG